TTTAGACTACCTAAAGGATCCTTCAAATTTAACAAGTAAAAGAAAAAAAAAACTAGAAAAGTATTCAAGCGCACATGCCACAAAGGAGGTATCAAAAATGTTCAACAATGTATCAAAACGTAAACAATATCATTGTTCATCATGGAAACCTAAACTAAAACCACATTAAGATACCTGTTCACAGGACTGGAGGGATGGCTCAGTGTTTAGGAGCACTGTCTGCTTTTCCAGAGGGTCTGAGTTCAATACCCAGCAAACCACATGGTGGCTCACAACCATTATGGGATATAATGCCTTCTTAAGCTACAGTATGCTCTTATGTACAGAAAATAAATAAAAATGTTAAAACAAAACAAAAGAAACCCTTTAACTGTCCATCAGCATAAACAGTAGCTAGAATAGAGAATTTCTGTACATTGGTTGATCTAACAGATGAAGTCCTGTGTGAATGTGTGCAAGAATCTCAGTGCTTTCCTCCGGTCCAAATGCTTATGTGTATTCAGTGAGCCAAAAACCTAACATCTACAATTTACTCCATTCAATTCCTAGAAATGTAACTGAAATGAATTATCCACATATCTATATGAGATTTGCTCAAGAATGCTCATTGACCTGTAGTCATGATATCACCAAGCCGGAAGTAACTCCAATGCCAACTCCAATGCCTACCAATCAGTAAGGAGACATGGAAAAGTAAATTATGGTATAATCACAAAATGCACAGTGAATCTTAACAAAAATAACAAACCAATGATATTTTCACCTACATTGACAGATTAAAGACAAAATACATTTTGAGTAAAGATGCCAAACTCAAGGAAAGTAGGGATTGGATCTTGTCTCTATGAAATCCAAGAACAAGCAACCCTACTCTTTATTGATAAGTCAGAAAAGAGGCACAGACTCAAGCTTTACATATTTTCCTGTGTGTACTTTATGGCTTAATAAGATTTGTAAACACTAATGGATTGGAAGGATTAATTAATTAGGAAGGATGTACATAAAATCACAGAAGTCCAAGTTACTTCTTCACTGACTATATGATTTTAAGCTGTTAATAGCTGCCACTCTTATTTCCAAGATGGTCAATCAATGTTGACAGAACTTAAAAAAATCCTACCTTACATGGAACACTAACATATGGGTGGGTTCAAACTCCCTGGTGTATCCAGTCTTAACAATTCTGTTTTGTGCTCACGACAAAATACACACACACACACACACACACACACACACGCACACACACATGCACACACACATGCACACATGCACATACATACAACCTAGCAGCTTAGTCATAGTTTTAGCCAATGGTTAAAGGACCATTCTCATTCCTTATAACATAACCATTCTCTAGACTCCACACAACTATTGTAATCGTTAACTTGTATCAACTCTAGTGCCCACACAAGACTGGTTCTACTAAATATCACCAAGGAAATGGGAAGGGCTTATCGGACAATATCTTTTATCTATGAACAACTGGCTATTTACAGTCTGCCCTCTGTTCTGTATGCTATACTGAAACCATCAGACTTTAATAGATAATTCTAAATACATTGTCACACTCATGCCCTTAGTTTATCTGAGTGGATCCCAAAACAAAGTGACTAGAATTTAACAAGAGAGGGAGATCTGTGGTGAGTGAACAGAGGCAGGGAAGTGGGGATCAGAGTGGGCAATATTCATGCTGCACTTAATATGTGAAAGTGTAAATAACAACAACAACAATAATAATAATTCAGAAGCAGAAAATAAAGATCACTTCCTTACTAAGAAAGAGATGACTTCAAAGGAGAATTATGTAAGTCTTACCAATTAAAGGGCCTCTGCTTTCCAGTCTTTCTGACCCACGTACTTCATGAAGAGACTACTAGCATCTACAGCCTCGTTCTCTTAGTCTAAGATTCCTATGCATATGTCAGATGCCCCCAGGTCTACAGCGTGGTTTTCTCCAGGAGAAGAATATATTTCTAGACTCACCACTGCCTGATAATTGAAAGAGCCATATGATTTCAAAGAAAGATGGCAGATGGTTAGCTCTGAAATCACATACGTATGAGTAACACCAAATGGACTCACTAGATCAGGTTTATTTATATGTTTGTATAGATGAGTAACAATAATAACCAAGGTAAAGAGGTTATGAGTTTGAGAGGAGTTTCACTATGGGAAGCATTGGAGGAAGGGAAATCAGAGGGATGAGAGGAAAATTATGGGATTATTCTTAATTAGAATTTTAAAAATTGAAAACAAAAAAGCTATGATGCTGAGGAAGAAAGGAAGGTAAATCTAAATGTTTACAAGTCTGCTTTCCCATCGACACATATACAATTGCTAAGGCCTCAGAACAACTTGACGAGAGGGCCTGAGGGGCACACTGGTCCTTACTAAAGCGTAACTGGGCTCTGATCAACTTACAGAGAGGAATATGAATCCCCCATCCCTTATTTGATACCATGATATGATTTCACAGTTTGGAAGGAATCTAAAGTTCTAATTTAAATGAAATGGCTGCAGAGTAACATTTCTAACTTCTGAAATTTATATTTCTTAATTTCCTGACACCTGATATTTAATTCAAAACTTATTTTTGTTTTCTTAGGTCTTAGCAGTTCCTTCAGTAACTCTCTTGTCTCTGTTTTCTGCTTACTGGCTCTTCTTTGTGGCTTCTCTTGGCTGTCTTTTGGAACAAAAAGTCATCTTTGTCCCTTTGTAAAGCACACATTTATTTCTTTATCATATTGCATAAATATGTAAACAGTAATCACTGAAACTTGAATCTCTGGTTCTGCATTGAGACAAAATTAAATTTTGAAACAACAAAAGTTCTAGGATGCTGGCATTCTAAATCCTTAAAGTTCCTTTCCACTTGGGGACTCTGTTTTGAGCAACACATTCAAATTTAATTAAATACGTTTAGCTCTTACCTAAGGTTTTTAATTATACACATTATCAAACAAGAAAGAGATAATATTAAATACACTTCAGTATTTTCTTTTAAAAGCACATGACCTTGAAATGAGAAATCATGTTATCCACCAAACTTCTCCAATACCAACATTAATTTAGTATATCAGGAACTTAAATTAGTCTAGTGAAATTTAATTAGAAAGCCGTCCTCCTCAAGTGTGGAGAAAGCAAGGCAATTATTCTAAGATGCATCTTGTGTACAGAAAAGAGTTAATTAGGGCTATGACTGTTGAATTTTAAAAGGTTACTTGGAAAGAGGGACCCTGAGCTGGCATTTGGGGACTCCTTTCTGGAGGCTTAATTTCTCAGCATTCCTTATATGGAAGGTATGGCACTTTATGCCCAAACTGTTTATACAGACACTGTGGTTTCTGTCTCTCACCCACTTTTCTCCTGGAAGTCTGGACTGGTACATCCTAGGCTCATAGGCAGAGGAGAGGGTGACTATTCACAGAGGAAAATCTGGATATCGAGTTCTATGCAGGATTCCCAGAGAAAACTTCACTACCAAGCCATTACAACCTGTGGATGGAGCAGTCCTGCCTCTACTTTGGGAGGGGACTTTGGGATGGTTGTGTCTGACCAGGTGTCCATGTGACTCTTTGCTGACTTTTCTTTTAAAACTGATCATTATAATAAATAATAACCACAAGAATAACTAATGTGTTCTGGATGTTCTCCAAGATGATCACCTAGGGGTGATCTTGGGAGAGACTGATGTCCTGGTGTCTGAATCCTCTTCTCTACGTCAATGAACACCAGTGAAGCTGATTTCAATCAAGTTCAAGGCTACAGTACTTTTGCAAAGAATCTTCACGTCAGGTTGCCCTACTCAATTCCTGCCTGTCATACTATGAAACTGCTCAATATTTATTTACACAGTTTCCTTATGTGTAGTTGATCAAGAAAAATATAATAATACATATTTCCTCTTTCCCTGCTAACAAAGTGAGAATTTAAGATCTTCTATAGTAGCAATTGATTTTACTTTCTTTTTTAAACAGCATGGGGCTTGTGGACTGGTAAGTGATAGTTTAAGAAACTAAATTCAATATTCTTAGAGTTGAATTCACTGGGCAAATTTCTCTTGAGCACATTCTTTTTTCTTTTTAAATCTGGAAAGTACCTTCCCTAGAAATGCCTTTCACCCTGCAGAGGATGAACAAGAGTCCTTTATGTAGCACAAGAGATTTTTCTGGCATCTTGTAGCAAATACTTGGGAGTCTATACATATGGTTTTCTGGTTTCCTCTTTTCTTGTCCATCCAAACTTCTTTAAAATACAGCTAACCAGGGGAGCAAACAGTAGATGTGCTTACTGTCTTCATTTCATTGTTTCATGGGCCAATGTTACTATTAGTGAATTAATTATCCATTGCCAAGTAGATCAAACACCATAGGAAGTACTCACTCTGCAGAAGTAGGAAACTGTACGGCACAGATAGACTTTCGCTGACTCTCTTATAACTACTGAGACTGAGTGAAATTGATTTATTATTATCAATACTGATAAGTGCTAAAATCGCATTCAAGTAATAGCTTAGAGTGTCAGAGGCCAAATTACTAGACTCATGAATATAGTCGCATATCTTCATTTATTCTAATTACAGTGTAGCATAGTCTTAATTCCAGATTTATTTAGCCTCAATGAATTATTACCTACTATTTCTGCCTGTGTCTGCCTACATGATAATTAATCCATTATATATCATTTGTTAAGAACTGTAAAAAAAAAAACACTTATTGCCAGTCTAAGTTTTTCTGGTACAATTTCCTTTTCCTGCATGCTTAAGAGAAGTCACCCAGTACTTTCAACACTCTCTTGTGAAACGGTTCAGCCAAAATGTCTCATCCTACAAAGACAGATGTTACCTGAAGAAACCCTTTCATTATTCTTCTTTTGTTTTTGATTCAAAAACTCATTGTCCTCAAATCAAACAATGTACCTCCCCAAACAAACCCCCAAACATCCCACATAACAATCACCATCACGATGTATACAATGGAAGTATCCCCAAGGGCACTCACCCACTTGAGTCTGCAGATGTGACAGCAATCAGAGGCAGGATTTTCAAGGGGAGGCTGGTTGGCCGAGGGATATTCTCTGATTCGCTTCTCAAGTCCATTTGTTCCAACTGTCTGAAGGCAAGAGGAGGAAGTTGGATGCTGCGGGATGAAAGTCTCCGTACAAGATAGGGCTCCATTCCACGGAAATGGTCCTCTTCTTCATTACAGGAGTGCAATGTTTCCTCAGAGGCCTAAGGCAAAGTTCAAGAAAGTCCACAGAATTAATAGGAGTCCTAGCATATGTCATTATGGAGTGACATATGTCCGTGGGGAAAAATTAAGTGGAGCTTATACATGAAAAAGGCTAATTGGCAATAAACAACATTAGCATTAATGTTGAAAATATCTGTTGAAAGGATTTTAACTCATAACTTATATATAGGTTTGTTTTTTATTTAGGTTTGGTCATAGCAGTTGGTATCCCTAGTGAAAAATTTACTAACTTTTTGTGTGATTTCTATAAAGCCAAACATGAATCAAGTGTTTTTCTATCTTCTGTGGAATGAAACAATAAACTCATTTTATTACATGTTCTAATATATACATTGCTAAGATATAAGTGTTAGTGTACTTTTTCTTATGAGAATGCTTATGAAGAGGGAAGTAAAATTTCCATTATTTTTTTAATGTCCATCTTTATTATTATTATTTATTTATTTATTTATTTATTTTAAACTTCTGATTTTATCCCCCCTCTCAGTCCACTTTCCAACTGTTCCACATACAGTACCTCCTCCCCATCCCCCTGTCTCCAGAAGGATGTCCCCACCCCCAACCCCTCCCACCAAAGCAGACCTCTAAACTCCCTGGAGCCTCCAGTTTCTTGAAGGTGAGGTACATCTTCTCTGACTAAACACATACTCGGCAGTTCTTTATTGTATATATATTGGGGGCCATATATCAGCTGGTATATGCTGCCTGGTTGGTGGTCCAGTGTTTGAGAGATCTCAGGAGTCCAGGTTAATTGAGACTCCTGGTCCTTCTACAGGGTTGCCCTCCTCCTCAGCTTCTTCCAGCTTTCCCCTAGTTCAACCACAGGGGTCAGCAGCTTCTGTCCATTGGTTGGATACAAATATCTGCATCTGACTCTTTCAGCTGCTTGTTGGGTCTTTCACAGCAGGGAAGTCATGATAGGTCCCTTTTTGTGAGTGCTCCATAGCCTCAATTACTCTGATACCTAAACCACACAAGGACCCAACCAAAAAAGAGAACTTCAGACCAATCTTGCTTATGAATATTGATGCAAAAATACTCAATAAAATTCTTGGAAACTGAATCCCAAAACACATCGAAACCATCATTAACTACAATCAAGTAGGCTTCATCCCAAGGATACAAGGTTGGTCCAATATATGAAAATCCATTAATGTAATCCACTATATAAACAAACTCAAAGAAAAAAATCACGTGATCATCTCCTTAGATGCAGAAAAAGCATTTGACAAAATATAACACCCCTTCATGTTAAAAGTATTGAAGAGATCAGGAATTCAAGGCCCATACCTAAACATAATAAAAGCAATTTCTATTATTTTTAAGTTTGCATCTTTTATATTTATACTTTTCTATTCTTAAACAATTAAAATACCTCTTTTTTAGTTTGTCTATCTTTAAAATGTTTAAGTTTTATCTTTGCCTTCTTTCTGAATCAGTTTTAATCATGTTTTGTTTGTTTGTTTCCTTGTTTCTCCTCTCTCCCACAGTGCTGGGATCAAACCCAGGACCTCACATGTGCTAGGCAAATTCTTTGCCAGTGAACTACATCTATAATCCTGAATATTTTTTTTTAATTTTGAGATATGGTCTCTCTGACTTAGGATATCCTCATATTCAATAGTACTTAATGTCCTTTTTGCCAGTTTCTGAAGTAGCTGAGATTCTAGACATGTGCCCCCATATCTGAGTACACCCTCCGTGCACACTCACTTTTTTTGTTTGTTTGAGACAGTGTCTCTTGTAGTCTCCTCTGCTGACCTCAAACTTTCTAAGTACACAATGATGACTGAACTTCTGACCAGACTGCCTCTACTTTTTCCAGTTCTGAAATTCTGGCTGAGTCATGAAGACTGGGATTGGATCTTTATACATGCTAGGTAAGGTTTCCACCCCCTGAGCTATATATCGTGAGTCATATATGTGAGTGCATGCATGGGTGTGTATGTACCAAGTCCACAGTCTTTGTGCTTTGCTTCTCAGCTACAGTCCTAGCCTGAATGAAAGGAATTGACTCCAGGTCTAACCATAACACAGGCTTATCAGGAGACATAAGTTCCTACTGCCAACTAATCCCTAACAACACAGGTAAAGGAAGTCTGAGGTGGTAAAGCCTAAACTCAATGGGCTTCTCTAACTGATATAGTATAGTATGATTTTTTTTTTACCCAAACTTATAATTTGCAACCAAAGAAGAAAACAGGAAAAAGTATACTACTGTGGCCAGTTTAAAATAAATCAATATTGCACAACATTCTAATATGCTAAGATACAAGATCAGAGAAGGCCACTTATTTTGAAGGCTATTGAATCAAATTACAAGAGCCATCCATCAGAACAGGCATGCAAATCTCAATGCAAAAACACAATAAATATGAAAACAATGAAACACCAAACAAACAAACTATGCTAAGATTGTCTTTAGGGAACAGATCCTAAAGACATCGAGGTGGAAGAAATGCTAGAAATTAACTCAAAAGAGTGATTTTTTTTTTTTTTAAAAAAAGAATGATCCTGTCAAAAAGAAATGCAGAGAAAAAAAATAGAGACTGAAGGAATGGTTGACCAGTGACTGATCCAACTTCGGATCCATCCTATGGACCAGCAAACCCTGCCTGATGCTATTACTGATGCTATGTTGTGCTTGCAGCTAGGAGCCTATCATGGATGTCCTTGGAAAGGCTTTACCAGCAGCTGACTGGGACAGATGTAGATACTCATGGCCAACCATTGGACTGAGGTCAGGGATCCCTATGGAAGAGTTAGGAGAAGGACTGAAGGACTTGAAAGGAATGACAACCCCATAGAAAGACTAACAGTGTCAACTAACCTGGACCTCTGAGAGCTTCCAGAGACTAAGCCACCAACCAAAGAGCATACATGGGCTTGTCAATGGCCCCTGGCACATGTGTAGCAGAAGACTATCTTGTCTGGCCTCAGTGGGAGAGGATGGGGCTAATCTTGTAGAGACTTGATGTCAGGGATGGGAGATGCCTGGGGGTGGAGGAGAGCACCCTCTGAGAGGCAAAGGGGAGGGGGAATGGGCTGAAGAACTCTGAGAGTGCGTGTGAGGAGGAGGGGCAACATTTGGGATACAAATAAATAAAATAATTAAAAAACAAAAAATAATAGCTTGTGTGTGTTGGCAGCCTCCTCCTCCTCCTCCTCCTCCTCCTCCTCCTCCTCCTCCTCCTTCTCCTCCTCCTCCTCCTTCTTCTTCTCCTCTTCCTCCTCCTCCTCCTTCTTCTTCTTTTCTCCTCCATTTCTTCTTTTGCCTTATTTTATTAACATGATTTTTTATCATTGTATTGAAAATAGGTATTTTTTTATATAATATATTCTGATTACAGTTTTCCCTACCTCTATTCCTCCCAGTTCCTTACATCCCCTTCCACTCAGATGTACTCCCAGAAAAACACACAACTGTAAGCCATACTATGTACACAAAGGGTATTGTGGATAAAAAAAATGTTTAAGATAACAACACACACACATATTATACAATATATGTATGTGTATGTATCTATATCAAAAATTTTTGAAAGATTTTGGGTAAAAGAATGAAAAGGCCCTAACAAGAATGTTGTGAGGCTGTTGTGATCATCCAATGATGCTGTTGAATTTATTTTCTGTTGGCCATCTACTGCTGGTCATGCAGCCTAACCTTAAGAGTAGCTGTTTGACACAATTGGAGAAAACTACATTTTTATTTGCAAGTGGTTATTAATTGGAGATAGCTTCTGGGTTACAGGTGGGGTATATGTACACTTCTCCTTTCAGCTCTAGGACCCCCATTTGGTATAGACCTATACCTGTGCAAGCAGGCCCTGGGCATGCTGCTTCAGTCTCTGTGAGTTCATATGAGCTTCGTTCCAGTTGATTTACAGTGCCTTATTTCCATGATGTCCTCCACTCCCTCTGGCTCTGACACACATTCTTCCTCCCCTTCCACAGATTCCCTGAGTCAGAAGGGGAGAGATTTGATGGAGATATCCAATTTAGGGCTGAGTAATCCAAGGTCTATTACTCTCTCCATATCTCTGATTGTCTGCTTTTGTTAATATTTTCTGAGGGTCAAGTTTCTCTGATGATGGCTGAGCAAGACATTGACCTATGTGTATAGCAGAATGTCATTAGGAATTATTTTGTTGCTATTTTGTTTTAGAATAGAAGTATTTGGTTTTACCATGGGTCCCTAAACTAGTCTCAGGTTCTTGATCATCCTGATCAAGATATGTCAGCTATGGATTCGGTCTGATCAGATAGTGTTAGATATGGGTTCGATCTTAGGTAGTGGGCCTTAATTCAAATTGGATATTGTTTGGTTACTGCTATAATCTTTATGCTATATTTGCCTTAGCATATCTTGCAGATAGGACAGCATTGTAGATTACAGTGTTTGCAGCAAGGTTGGTCTTTATGTTTCCTCTTTGTTTACATGCAGAGTACCTTCCTGTACCAAAGATGCTAGCCTCTATGGTTTGTAGCTTGGTTATCATCAATTTACCAGCTAATATCCACATATAACTGAATACACACCATATTTCCATATTTGTCTTTCTGGGTCTGGGTTACTTCCCTCATGATGGATTTCCCCCTCAAGTTCTATCCATTTACCTGCAAATTCTATGGTGTCATTTTTTGTACTAGTTGAGTAATATTCTATTAATGAACATTTACTACATTTCTTCATTCATCTATTGAGGTTGAGGGACATCTAAGCTGTTTCCAGTTTCTGTGTATTGTGAATAGAACAGCAATGAATGTGGTTGAGCAAATGTCTCTGTTTTGATTTGCATTTCCCTGATGACTAAAAATGTTGAACATTTTTAAGTATTTCTCAGCCATTTGAGTTTCCTCTTTTGAAAATTCTCTGCTCAGATCTGTGCCTCCATTTTTATTTGGTTATTTGTTTTCTTGATATCTTGTTTCTTGAGTATTTTAATTACTATAGTTATTAACTATCTATCAACTATAT